TTTTTCGCCCATTCGGTCCTTCGCGCATGAGAATAGCCCATTGTCATTCACAGGGCTTCTTGCAGATAATGGTCTGAACTCATTTCATCTGCAGGTTTGTCTCAAAACGAACCGAACTTCATGCAGTGATCAATGCGTTTACTAAATTGAAGACAATTTTTGAGGTTCTGGTTAGGAGCTTAAGGGTTCGAATCGCGTGTACAATCGCATAATTTTCGTTTTCTTCAAATAAACTTTTCTTTTTAAATCAACGGCCACATCTGTTCTTGAATTGTTTGCCGTATTTTTTTTTGTTGTTTGTGTGAAACTCAAAGTCACCTCACTGTCAAAAAATTACACAAAACAAAACCAAGAACAAATCCTTTCGTTCCAAATAGAAAAACAGCTAGAAGAGAAATAGCTTTACTTCTATCAATGTAACTACACTGGTTTGCAGCAAGGAGGTAACTCAACTTTGGATTTTAATTACGACTGATCTGATTGTCAACAGCTCTGTAAACGATAGACATTTGGGGATAGGGTTATACCCCTCTTTCAACCGTTCTCGTTTTCCATTGTCGTTTTACAATTAGTCGTTTTTTTATTGTCAGTTCTAAGTTATGTTCGAGTGCAATTACGATGTTTCGTCAGAAATCGCTCTAATTTACTACACTGATCAACACTGGGCTTGATAGACGTCAAGTCTTAGGTTGCTGACTCTTTGCGTAGCTAATGTATTTTTTTTAGTTCGAAACACTGCGTGTCAGATCTTTTCAATCAGGAAATCAGGCTTATTGACATCAAAAATAACGCGTTTCAAAATTTTAAATTTCAATTAAAGATTGACAGGGGATAACCCAAAAAACCATAGAAAAAAAGTTTGCAAAAAACAGGTCCCGGTCGAATTCAAACCACAGACCTTGGTCGTCTCAAGCAAGTGTTTTACCTCTAAGATACATGCACCGGATCGTGGATTGAATTTGAAGTTATAATCAGACACCAAGCTTTCGAAAGAAAACTGAACTTTTAAAAAGAAATCAAACAAAAAATAGCTTCTAAGTTTTTTCTTTTCTAACTAAAGGTTTTAGCGTCTTTAAAAAAGTGTTTTAAAAACGTGTATGAAAAAAACATCATCGTGTTACTTTCTCCGACTTGATTTTTATAATCAATTGAATGGAATTTAAAAAAAAAAACACCCGGCAAAAAGCCGACAAAAATTCGGACGAAATCAATTAAGCCTACAATTTATCTGAATTTTTTTAACAGTAGATCGAGTAATGCATTAACTCTAGGCACAATTAGTCGTAGTGTTAAATGTGCAACGTGCTGAAAAAAGAGACCTCAAACTTGGAGAACATACTGTGAGAACAAAGTTGTTTATCGCAAGGATAATAATTTATTAAACACAAAACCGTTCGAAACCAGGTCAGGGGCAGTCAGAACACTCAAGGTTTTACCTTTTGATATACAAGCAGTCTTGTTGGCTTACAGTATGGTTCAAATTTGAAGCCGAATTTAACAAACCAGTTCACTGATCATATAATTCCGTTTTTGGTTTACTGATCTGATCTGCCCATTTCCGATGAGTTAAAACAAAGGATTACCGACATATCACTTTAATTTGGGCATGCGGTGAATAACAAGGAGGCGGTTCTAATCTAGACAGTGAATTTAATATCGAGAAAAACATACAAAGAGAAGGCATTTTGGCAGGTAATAGAACAAATTAGGCGGTAAACGAATAATTGTTTCACACCTCAAAGCGAACAAAAATAAGACTAACTGCTGTAATAAATACGGTTTTAACAATCGGCTAACAATTTTCTTCTAATTGGCTACTTTGATTCTGCTTTGTTTGCTTTACTGTCTCTCATAATTGCGTATCAAATTCACTGTCTGGATCACACCCGTCTCATTGGTGGAATCCCTCATGCGCGAAGGACCGAATGCGCGAAAATAAAATTCAGCCAATCAGATTTCAGTAATCTAAAAGTTGGAAAGGAAGTAAGCATTTCCAGGGACTGGAGTATTGATATTGGCCGAATTTAAAAACGGCAGAAATATGCAAAACCTTCAAATTTTTCATTGACAGCGGCAAAAGTGGGATAAATTTTACATTTCAAGGGTTTCGTAATGAAAGTATCAAAGTATTGCTTCATTTAATTCATTTTAACCGAATGGCAATTGTTACTGTTTAAAAATTGACTTTCGGTTGATTTTGTCTTTGGTCCTTGGCCTACAATTTTTTTCGCCCGTTCGGTCCTTCGCGCATGAGAATAGCCCATTGTCATTCACAGTGCTTCTTGCAGATAATGGTCTGAACTCATTTCATCTGCAGGTTTGTCTCAAAACGAACCGAACTTCATGCAGTGATCAATGCGTTTACTAAATTGAAGACAATGTTTGAGGTTCCGGTTGGGAGCTTAAGGGTTCGAATCGCGTGTACAATCGCATAATTTTCGTATTCTTCAAATAAACTTTTCTTTTTAAATCAACGGCCACACCTGTTCTGGAATTGTTTACCGTATTTTTTTTTGTTGTTTGTGTGAAATTCAAAGTCACATCGCTGTCAAAAATTTACACAAAATATAACCGAGAACAAATCCTTTCGTTCCAAATAGAAAAACAGCTAGAAGAGAAATAGCTTTACTTCTATCATTGTAACTACACTGGTTTGCAGCAAGGAGGTAACTCAACTTTGAATTTTAATTAAGACTGATCTGATTGTCAACAGCTCTGTAAACGATAGACATTTGGGGAGAGGGTTATACCCCTCTTTCAACCGTTCTCGTTTTCCATTGTCGTTTTCCAATTAGTCGTTTTTTATTGTCAGTTCTAAGTTATGTTCGAGTGCAATTACGATGTTTCGTCAGAAATCGCTCTAATTTACTACACTGATCAACACTGGTCCTGATAGACGTCAAGTCTTAGGTTGCTGACTCTTTGCGTAGCTAATGTATTTATTTTCAGGTCGAAACAATGCGTGTCAGATCTTTTCAATCAGGAAATCAGGCTTATTGACATTAAAAAAACGCGTTTCAAAATTTTGAATTTCAATTAAAGATTGACAGGGGATAACCCAAAAAACCATAGAAAAAAAAGTTTGCAAAAAACAGGTCCCGGTCGAATTCGAACCACAGACCTTGGTCGTCTCAAGCAAGTGTTTTACCTCTAAGATACATGCACCGGATCTTGGATTGAATTTGAAGTTATAATCAGACACCAAGCTTTCGAAAGAAAACTGAATTTTAAAATGAAATCAAACAAAAAATAGCTTCTAAGTTTTTTCTTTTCTAACTAAAGGTTTTAGCGTCTATAAAAAAGGTGTTTTAAAAACGTGTTTGAAAAAAACATCATCGTGTTACTTTCTTCGACTTGATTTTTATAATCAATTGAATGGAATTTTCAAACAAAAACACCCGGCAAAAAGCCGACAAAAATTCGGACGAAATCAATTAAGCCTACAATTTATCTGAATTTTTTTAACAGTAGATCGAGTAATGCAATAACTCTAGGCACAATTAGTCGTAGTGTTAAAGGTGCAACGTGCTGAAAAAAGAGACCTCAAACTTGGAGATCATACTGTGAGAACAAAGTTGTTTATCGCAAGGATAATAATTTATTAAACACAAAACCGTTCGAAACCAGGTCAGGGGCAGTCAGAACACTCAGGGTTTTACCTTTTGATATACAAGCAGTATTGTTGGGTTACAGTATGGTTCAAATTTGACGTCGATTTTAACAGCCCAGTTCACTGATCAGATAATTCCGTTTTTGGTTTACTGATCTGATCTGCCCATTTCCGATGAGCTAAAACAAAGGATTACCGACCTATCACTTTAATTTGGGCATGCGGTGAATAACAAGGATGCGGTTCTAATCTAGACAGTGAACTTAATATCGAGAAAAACATACAAAATGAAGGCATTTTGGCAGGTAATAGAACAAATTAGGCAGTAAACGAATAATTGCTTTACTGTCTCTCATAATTGCGTATTAAATTCACTGTCTGGATCACACCCGTCTCATTGGTGGAATCCCTCATGCGCGAAGGACCGAATGCGCAAAAATAAAATTCAGCCAATCAGATTTCAGTAATCTAAAAGTTGGAAAGGAAGTAAGCATTTCGAGGGACTGGAGTATTGATATTGGCCGAATTTAAAAACAGCAGAAAAATGAAAAATCTTCAAATTTTTCATTGACAGCCGCAAAAGTGGGATAAATTTTACATTTCAAGGGTTTCGCAATGAAATTAGCAAAGTATTGCTTCATTTAATTCTTTTTAACCGAATGGCAATTGTTTCTGTTTAAAAATTGACTTTCGGTTAATTTTTGCCTTCGCTCCTTGGCCTACAACTTTGTTTCGCCCATTCGCGCATGAGAATAGCCCATTGTCATTCACAGGGCTTCTTGCAGATAATGGTCTGAACTCAGTTCATCTGCAGGTTTGTCTCAAAACGAACCGAACTTCATGCAGTGATCAATGCGTTTACTAAATTGGAGACAATTTTTGAGGTTCCGGTTAGGAGCTTAAGGGTTCGAATCGCGTGTACAATCGCATAATTTTCGTTTTCTTCAAATAAGGTTTTCTTTTTAAATCAACGGCCACATCTGTTCTTGAATTGTTTGCCATATTTTTTTTTGTTGTTTGTGTGAAACTCAAAGTCACCTCGCTGTCAAAAATTTACACAAAATATAACCAAGAACAAATCCTTTCGTTCCAAAAATAGAAAAATAGCTAGAAGAGAAATAGCTTTACTTCTATCAATGTAGCTACACTGGTTTGCAGCAAGGAGGTAACTCAACTTTGGATTTTAATTAAGACTGACCTGATTGTCAACAGCTCTGTAAACGATAGACATTTGGGGAGAGGGTTCTCATTTTCCATTGTCGTTTTCCATTGTCAGTTCTAAGTTATGTTCGAGTGCAAGTACGATGTTTCGTCAGAAATCGCTCTAATTTACCACACTGATCAACACTGGTCTTGATAGACGTCAAGTCTTAGGTTGCTGACTCTTTGCGTAGCTAATGTATTTTTTTTCAGGTCGAAACACTGCGTGTCAGATCTTTTCAATCAGGAAATCAGGCTTATTGACATCAAAAATAACGCGTTTCAAAATTTTGAATTTCAATTAAAGATTAAATTAAAGATAAAAACAATCGAACACTTCAACGGATCAATTTAATAAAAGACAAACTAGTTACAATTATTGCACTTCAGAAGCAAATACATTGCTACCATTTCTGTGATTGAAACCACAAAATTGCGATAGAAACCACAAAAGACCCAAATCAATTTTTCCGAGCAATTTAGTCAAAAATAACAAACTTACAAAATTTCACATTAACGAATCAAATTCTTTAAAATCATATCCAATTAATTTCAGCTATAACACTGGCTCCGCTCTTATCGAATGGCTAAGATGCGCATAAGACAATCGTATAGCAAGATTAACTTGCTGCCTTTAACAACAGTGATTGCAACTTTAGTCTATCTTGAGTTTTTTCGGTACGAACAAGACCTCATTAAACTTTGAGCTGATTTCATTTGAAGAGTTTGTTAGGGCAGTTCTTTCTGCACTGGCACTTGACTTGACCTTCGTTTTTCTCCCGTTTGACCTCATCTGATTCTTTAGAGAGTGATGAGTTGTTGTAGCTGAAGCTGAGCTCATCCCCTATTTTGATGTCTCTTTTGGCGAATAGGGCCAAGTGGTGAATTGAGGGGTCTGCGCTCTCCCACCAAACTGCACGAGTGAACAAATTTGGGTGACAAGCGTGGTTGATAAATCTGAAAAAAGACGAATAGAATTTGTTCGAAACAATTTGCGCATTTATCGATGAGCGTAGTCAATTAATAGCAGATACAACAGCATCTTATCAAAAATTGCATATCCTTTTCAGTTCTTGTAAAGTTTTCAGAGAAAAAATTATGCCCGGCAAAAATGTGTTTTTTTTTTGCTCAACTCGTAAATCACTGCTCATGATTTGAAAGAAAAATGATCAAACAGAACAGACCTAGCTTCATTTCCATATGGCTTTGCGTCAATCGTGAACTTCTGGCTTTCATCTTGACCTTCAATTTCGAACAGATCCATGTCAAACAGGTATGTCCTCCCTCTAGCATCGTACTGCTTGCCTCTCTCATTGGCCTCTTGATAGGATACAACTTCGCCTATGTACTCGACTACAAACTGATTCTTCTTGATATGCTCAAGAGCCTTCACGCCCCATCCACGTCCATTTGATGTCTTGAAGATCTGCATCTTGACTTTTCTACCTTTCTGGACCACTCTAAACTGGCACTTCTCCGGGTCACAGGGACAGTTATCGTTGCACTCATAAACGGGGTAGTTTTGGCTACGATTGATCAGAATACCGTCCTGATTGTAAGGCATCTTGAATCCCTCTTGGGTAGCACAGGCACATTTTTCATCACAGATTCCATCGACACATTCGCAACTTATGGTCACGTTTTCTTTATCAGCAGGCATCTTAAGGTTAATTATATAATTAAACGTCATCATAGGCCATGTAAGATCCACGTCATTTCTGACTTCGATTCCTGAGTCATGATTTGGCCACGGTTCATTAATTTTATCCAAAAATTCTTTCGTCTTTTCTCGGCATAAACTACGTTGCTCCTCATACTTGCTTAACTGTTTCAACTCTCTTCTAAATTCGGCCAGCTTTCCTGGACAGTTGTCCAGATTCGCAAACGGTTCCCAAGTTCTATCACTATAACCGAACCAGCGAATGTAGAACAAGTCATCGCCTGCCGGATCCATGATCATAGCCAGAATTTTATCCACGACGTAGGGATCTTTGTGCGCTTTTCTCTTTTTCGGCGTAGGTCCATCGGATATAAAATCTTGACTCGCACTTTCATCTGCTATCGTTAGATACTCTTTGAAAATGGGTTCAACCCAGTCGATGTGTTTTTGCGACAGATTTGCCTTGTCTAATTTGATAGATACAGATTTTCTACAGCCGTACTTTACAATTTTCGGTGGTTTCGGAACTCTATTAGCATTGGCGCGTCTCTTTTTATTCAGCTTTGGAGTTTTTACTGATGAGTCTTGACCATCATCTTGACTCTCCGTATTATCTGACTCGCTTTCCGATGGAGTGATAGCTGAAATATCACGACATAATTAATTAGATCTATAATGCTCTAGAAACAGGTCGAAAAAGCTTGACGTTAATTATGAAGATGCCCATCAAGTGATAAAAAAGCAACGGCGTTGATACGTTGTCCACGAAAACTCGTGGTCGATCGTGGATAAATGAAAATTTGATGTTTTGAGCTTGCATAATTTAATGCAGTACTAACATTCGACTGAGTCAAATGCGTTCATGTCCTTGTCCGCTAACGGAACTTTCAGCTCTTCATGTGCATCGGCCCTTCCTGAAATGATTACCATTAAGTTATGAGCAGGACCAAACTTAAGCTAACACAACTTACAAATTATTACTATGGAATGAACATTTTATACTCACCTTCTGATTGGTCAGTTGTTGATATGTTCTCAGATGCCGGAAAATCTGCTGGACTTCTGTTGTCCGAAGAAATTGCCACGCCTAAAACAAAGACAAATTACATATCTTAAAAAATCAATTATTAACATTTTTGATAAATTAGCTACTATTATAATTAGCCGCAACCTCAAAAAAACGTCATTTTCATTATAAGTTGCAAGAATAATACTTCCATAGTTTACATAAAGAACTCTTCCATGGAGACTAAACTTTACAGCTTACCTTCCACATGAAGATCGTGTGTTTTAATGACTTCCTGTCGGTCTGAATTTACAGCTAAGTTTTCTGTGGCATTTACCATCACTAAACAAAGAGTATCAAATTCAATTCACTGAATAATTATTACTTACAAAAATTTGAAATATATTGATTTAATAAAGAAATATATCGTTAAACAATGAAATGTATATTAGTCGTCGCTAATTATAATGGAGGCAATCATTAGTTACAGTGGGCCTCTTTTATTAGCAACTAACGAGCAATAATTTTGAGATATGCGAGATTAACATGAGTAACATAACACAACTAATTAACCTTTAAATGATCTGCGCAAATTTTATATTATATCCTAATAATAGCTGAATATATATGCAATCTTTCTGACCAGTTTTGATATCAGTTTGATAAAAACTGTGTTTTTACTCGGATAAGCTCCTCAAAAAGATAGTGTGTTTTTCGAATTGTAACTGATTATTTTTTGCAACTTAATTACATTTTTTGCAACTTACAATTTTTGCAACCTAATTACTATATTTTTGGCCATACAAGAAATTTTATTTAAACAACCAAAAAATGTCTCCTAAACCATAATAATTAATACCTATTTGTCATAAAAACTGCATTCATCTGATACTATGATTTGCCAGATACTTCTTCAATTCTCGTCGCAAATTTTTCCAAACGTTTCGGGTTGGGCTCACCAACTCTAAATTTTCGTTCAGGCGCTACTTTCAATAAAAAACTTGTCAGCGACGCAGAAAACTTTTGCGAATATATAGGCATTTTTGTGATTCAGTAGAGCTCGATAAACCAAAATGGCTGACCAAACAGAAAAAAAAACAAAAGAAGGCAGATTAAACTTATCAAAAAACCGCATAAGCCCCGTCAAAAAAATGACATTGCGTAGCAACAGCTCGCAGCATAAATTTTGACATTTTCCAGCACACAAGGAAAGTACATCCAAGGGCACGGCATTTGACAAACTAAATAATCCTACTAAAAGCAAAACAAGACTCATCATATAGCAGCAAGATAGACTCGATATTTAAAGCTATTAAAGCAGAAATTGCCTGCAACGAATGATCTCTTTTCAAAAGATAGGAATTGAGCCCAAATGATGGCGTTTCTTCTTTTTCCACTGGAAAAGATCAGTCTAGAAACATGGACATACCTGATTCGCTGAGCGGCTCCAGAGATCGACCCACACAAAGTTCTGAAATTCATAATTCATCATGGAAAATCGAGGAAAATTTTGACTGCAATGAAAAGCCTTCTGAGATAATTTAATTTTTTTCCAAAAATCTACCCGGTCGTAATTTACAACTAAAACTAATTTTAACAAGGATAGCCGGTTGCTGTGCAAGTAGCACAGAATGTGCCGACCACATTCGTAAAAAACGACAAAAGAAACCTTTTTTTAATCTTCAAATCAGCGTCGTTTCTTCCGCGTGGTGCGATTATACAACTATACAAACGCTTAGAGAGTTAGTGAATTAGGCATGAAATACTACAATTGTTTTCAAAAAATAAATGAACGAAACGATGAAAAAAATCAAAAAAAATTCCTAATTATTTTGCACTGAATATTTAGTTTAAATTTCTATGAAAATTTGTATGACCGAGAAAGCGCTTAATTAAGCTTCTAAAACTGTTTTTTTAGCAAGATCAAGTTTTTTTAGACGCCCAACATTTATATATATCGAACATAGCTTAACTCGCTCGAAATTGGACTGAAACACAAAAATTTTAAATCGGTTATTCTCAACACTGGGAATAATTTTTGGAAACTTTTTATTGTCGCTCAAATTACGACTGAAAGGGTTTTAATATGATACATCACTTGACCCATTCCGATAATTACATGATATAGCGTGGAAAACAAAAAAAACTAAAATACACCCGAATACAAAGTTTCTCCACATTTTTCAAATGTTCGGAACAATAAAGGTTTAGTTGTGGATCCTTACTCGAAAAATCTCCACAGAATTGTGGTTTTTCCTCAAAAAAAATTCAATCGAAAAAATGTCACAGATTAATTAAAAAAACAGATACCAATTCAATCAAGTTACGAATATTTCTCTTGCTACCGTATATAAATTTAAAATAGCATAGTCCCAAATGAGAAATGTAGAAATCAGATTAGATCAACTTCTAGCTTATCAACTTTCAGATCATTATCCTTACAACGAAAAACATGACAGCCATTAACAAGAAAATGAAAAAAATTGGCTTGGAAATTGTCCGCCAATAACTGAACGATAACATTAACAAAAACCCAACAATCTGTCTCAAAATTACTATTATAAGCATCAGAAATAATTGGATAGTTTTCTGCCGCCCAAGTATGCATTAAGAAGCGTATTTTGGTTGAAAAAAGAAATGAACAGCTTAACTAATTCCGGAAAATTGACAAAAAACTTGAGATTTATAAACCTGCAACCAGCACCACCACCTTCATTCATATTATACTTTTGACGCAAACTCACAAAAAGCCTGTTTTATTTGCTAAAACTACTGTGCTATGGTAGGTTCTGTACGGCTCTTAGACCTGTAAATAGTTTTATACAATCCATTTTTGTTACTTTGTATGGTTTGCGCACTCAAATCCGTCATTTGAAAAAAAAATGAAGGCTCAAATGCTTGAATTAATGAGAACTTATCGGCAACAACTCTCAAAAAATCCATGATTCACTCTGCTTTAACTTGAACATATCAGAAAAACCACCAAAAATCTGTCCCGAAACCGAAATGAATCGGCCTAAGCTAGCCGCAAGAACCGGTAATGTCTTTGAGACAAATTACTATTTTTAACGGTCAGCCTTAATCAAGCCTGAACCGTGTTAGAACCAAAGCACAGTTCAAAAGGGTCAAAAAGGACGGGCACTCCTTTTTTAGTATCTTAAAACATAGGCACGTTGAGGACTCGAACCTAAGCCGGACTGGTCTACTTAGTTTTGGTACATAAGCTTAGACGCTCGGCCATTAGTTCTTGTATAGAATCGTATTTCACTTTACTTACTTTCGCGCTACTTGAGCGTGAACATCTTTCGCCCCAGAAAGCGGAAGAGCCGGAGCGAGCTTAACGGTCTGCCGAAACAGTTCGCTTGTTGCAGTCTTATCAAGGGAGGATCGCGCGCAACCATCCTGTCGTTAGTTTAGCTCAACAATTCGGGCGAGAGGGTAGTACCCTCGCAGACTATCGGGCTCAATAACCCATACAAGATCGCCTGTCTTAAAAGTGAAGTCAGACTGAATGTGCCACTTGACACGCTTATTCAGAAAGGGAACATATTCTCGCAGCCAACGAGACCAAATAGCGTTATCGTACGACTGCGCAAGCACGTATGTTTTCTTGTGGTCGATGTATGCCTCAGGTGAAAGCGAGGGTAAGCTTGTAACATGTTGTCCAAGTAAAAAAATGGTTTGGGGTTAACGCTTCTAACTCAAGTGAATCGGTACTTAGGGGCGTGATGGGCCTCGAATTCAAAGACCGCTCAACTAAGCAGAGTGTTGTTTCTAGCACTTCTTCAGTATCTCGCTTTCTGCCTAGCATACCGTAGAGGTTAGCGACGAATACGGGTAAATTGCCATTGGAGTTTAGCGACTACAAAACCGTAGTATTATCTGACCACATGTAGACATAATTAAACTAAACTCGAAAGGGCGCAACGCGATCTTCCCCAAAAATGAAGGATATTAGAGTGTTATTTGAACTCGTGAGTCGCGCTCGCAAAAATCAAACAGCGCAGAAAACGTCCTGCGAGCTATCGCCGAACATGTGAAGCTGAATTGGACCCACATGTTCTGTGAAGTAACAGCGGGGAATAGTCATCTGCCCTAAGACTGGGAGACAGGAGTGCCACTCGTGAAATTTAGTTCTAATGTCATCCCAACGTTTGCCACTAATTTTCTAAAAATCTTTAAGCAAAAGACGGGCCCTAACTGTGCATGGGGTCACTTAACCAACAGGACGGTTACTAACCCAACAGGACGAGACGAAACACCAAAGAGACGAAACTCAATACGGTTTGTTGAGTAATTGCGGTGACCGAAAACTCATGTATGGTGACTCAAACAGGGAAATCATTTCAGTTGAATCTTAGGCTTTTTGAGGCAAAAATTCCACGAATTCCAACCACAAAACATTCTTTCGAATGATGAAAGTAAAATTTATTGGCGGTAGTGGAAACCAAATTTCCCACTGCCCAGCAATTTGATTGCTTTTCCAATTTACACAAGCAGTTTTCGGGAAACTTAAATTAGTTGCTTATTCCACTCAAATTCGAAAATGTCAAGCCTTGCAAAACTTGTCCTAGAAAAATCTTAGTATCGCTTCTGTTATTTGCTGGCGCAAAGTTAAAACAATTTTCATGAAGTGGTTTTGTTAGAAAGCTGTCATTTTCCTAGCCTGAGATCAAAACTTAGGAGAAAGTTTGAGATTATTTCCGAATTTTAGCGAAAGCTGGATCTGAACCTGGAATCAGCTAATACTCAAGAGTTAGACCATCATTCCTTTTCAGATTGCATCAGCGTTTTTGTGCTTATTTAAAGAACTTGCAGAATATTAGTGACTGTGTTCCTCCTTTTATCAAACAAGGGCAGATATCAGTTCATTCAAAGAAACTTTGTGCGACCTAAATTAAACTTTTACGTCAGAGAAAAAAGCTTGCTGAAAGGCAACAACGCCAAAGCTGCAAAACTTAAATTCCTCAAATATTTTGGAGAAAACGGTGTTCACCCTCGGCGAGAATTCATTAAAACTGTTTGCTTTTTCCATCCTGTCAGCAGCTTGCGACTATCAGAGAAGCCTGATTTTACGAAATTACTAGGTGTAGAAAAAATCAAATTGAGATTATGCTTATCGACGTCTGAACCAATCATTTGTATACAATATTAATAATTCGAAGCCATATATTGCGCAAATTGAAGAACAGACGGATTGTGTTTGCAATTCTTGGAAGAGTTGCGTAGCTCAACTCCCAAAATTACAAGAAACTGCGTTCAAATTTGGATTTTCGATGTGTGCAATAGCAACAGTGAAGCGAATTTATAGTTTTTATAACAAACCTTTGAGCCATGAGCGCCAACAATTTGAAAATGAGAGCAATAAACAGCTGTTATTTTTGTTTTAACCGCGGAAAATTTCTAATTTAAGTTTAAAAGCCTGCAATTTTACCGCAGACTTTTTTGCATAATCGACAGCATAATTGACTAAAACCGGCAGCAGTCCGCGTCAAAAAAATTAACTACTTTCGCCGTCAGATTTTTGCATAGCCTACTTATACTATTTATCTGTAAGATACCTTATACAGCCCTTACGCACTATCACGCAATTAGCTAGAACGTAAGCCAGAGGCAAGAATTACTGATTTCTATATGCACAAACAAGCAAATGCTTTTAAGAGGTTAAAATTCTCTAAGAGGGACTGAATGACGGATTGTTTTTTTGCACACAACCAGAATCGGCAGACGTTACTATTCGCTAAATGGTTTTTGCACGAAACCGGAGTCATTATTAGCAGAAAATGAATAAGACCAAAACAGCAAAACGTAGATGAACAAACCAACCGTACATCTAATTTTTTGGTTTTGGTTTCTCCATTTGCGCTATCCAATTGGCACCTTTGAAATTTTAAATTTTTTTCAATGCGTCTTGGACCAGAGAAAAATTGAAAATTTATGTATCTTCTTAATTTGCAATTGGTCAATTTGAATTTCAATGGCCGGAATTTATTAATGTACTTTTAGATGTTTGCAATTTCTTTCAGATTTTTGAAAACACAATTCTGATCGGTTGAAAACAAAATGAAGTCCAAACTCATTGATTTCGGTTAATTTTTACTGCGCCGTTTTGATCAATGTTTCTCCTGTTTATGGTGATACTAATCACCCAAAATATATGAGCAAAACTGAAAGAAAAAACAAAAAAATGCACAACTACAGTCACCTTAACATTGGATGTGAATCTCATTAAGCAAAAATTCTCAACACAAATATCTCTTTCAACAAAAAAACTTGACAGTGAAGACTTTTGCATGACGGGTCGCACTGAAGATCATTTGGTGGCCATCGGTGTGCACTATCTGCTTAAATTGCAATCAGTCAAAATCTGTTTAAGTGGCCGGCGTGCTTTGCTTACTTTGAACGCGAGGACTGCTGCATGCTGGATCGCGCTGCCGATGTCACGGTGACCATTGGTAGGCAATTTTTGTC